TTTTATTTTTTTTAAAATTTTTTCCATATAAAAAAAAAAAAAATTTTTTTAAAAAAAAAAAAAAAAAAAAAAAAATCAAGCTCCTTCTGCCTTCCCTACTGTCATACACTGCTTGATCAGAGACAACCAATCAGAGCCAAGAGGTGGCTCTTAGTGCTGTTAATCATACTTGTGCAATTGCATAACAGTTGACTGACATTTCAAACAAAAGACAAAATTATTACATAGTTTCAACTTTCTCTACTGATGAGTTAACACCAGCCTCCGTCTTGCCTTAAGGTGAAATATGCAGAAAACATTTGGCAGCAATTCATCCAACTGGGATTCAAACCCAGGACCTTTTTACTGCAAGGCAACAGTCCTTCCAACTTTCTATGATTGCTGCCTTTGTATAAATGAAAATTATCTCTGCAAGATTTGAAATAAACTAAAACGGTTTCCTTTTAAATTACTTCCTACCTATCTGCATCCTCTGACTTCATTTTTAAACACCTCACTGATACTAACAAAAGCTCTTGAGTCTTCTTCCATCGTCTTAAATTCAAATTCAAGAATACTTTATTAATCTCAAAGGAAAATTTAATGTTGTTGAAAGTCATTAGTCAAAATTCTTCAGAGTTATTGGCATTATTTCATCTTTTGCCATGTTAATCAGTTGCTCCCAATCTGTTGCTATGGTTATGCATCATAACAAAAGAGGAAAGTATAAAATGTATTGAAACACAATGCATCCAAAATGAGAGAATGGTTGTAAACAAAAAAAGCAATCCCCTCAACCCAAGAAAAGCAGGAATGAAAATTTGAAGAAGAAAAAAAGACAAAAATCTAAGAGACTTTGTTTTTGGTGCAACTTAGTATGTGCATTCATTGAATAGAAAAGAAATTGATTTTTGAGTTTCTGGCTACCTGATCAAGCCAGTAATCCTCACTTTCTGGTCAGCCTTAAGATTTTTTTATACTATGTGTAGAAATGCACATAGTAGAAATCTAAAATGAGATTGAAGATTTTCTCCAGTATCAGTATTGAGTTTTCGCATCACAACAACCCTAATGATTCATGAGATTTTCACCGTTTGCTGAATGATTTTCATCAGTTAGAATAGAAATTTCATGTGAACATTCTGCCAAGCCAACCATATGCCTGGTAAATAAATAATGCAGAATATCGGCTCACCACATGCACCTGCAGGGTTCGATGCAGCATAAGGAGGGGGCATTTTTGGCTTCAGCAAGATGGAAAAACCTGATTTTCAAAAGTCGACTTGCCAAGCTACTTGTTGGCTGTGGTGGATTTTTTTCATCAGTGCGACCAAAAGGGAGCAGTCAGAATCCTTCTTCCAGCAATGCCTCAGGCTGAGAGCAAAAAAATAAAAAAAATAATAAAATAAAATTGGTCTCAAATTACATGATGAAACAGAGTTTCAGGCGTAGAAACTGTTTCATGTGTGGCAGTATTATGTAAAATCAACTTTTTTAAGTTTGTGTTGCTTTGACTCTTTCATGCATGTTTTAGAAATCCTTTAATCTACCATGGCAACCATTTGACCCTGCCTCTACACCTCACCCACTCAACTCCTTCAAACTAGCCAGCAGCAATTAGCAAACACCTGGTGGTGCTGCGCATCTGCTGAGCTCATTACAGAAGCTACTTTCAGAACAACGCTGGTAAAAACATTGTTAAAGGGTTAATAGGCGTGCTGTTGTGATGACTTCTTGAAGGCAGAGTTTCAGAAAGAGCAGGAGTGTCTTAAAGAGACATAGGGCCACTTACAAGTCGCTAAATTAGAGAGTGAAATTTTAGTCATTTATTGATATATGGCATTTTTATAACAACTAAAGTTAACTGAAGTAACAGGAACTGTATTAATGATTGTGCTACAAAACAACACTTGATTATTGGGAAATGCATACATAAAAAGAAGTTACTTCTGTTTAAATCACTTTTCATTTTTTATTTGCCCTCCATCTTCCCCTTCTCTACTTCGCCTTTTTTTTTTTAACTTCCTCTCTTTTGTGTTTTGCAGAGGAAGCTGATTACACAACATTTGGTACAGACTCACTGACCAGGAAGAAGAATACGGTGCTCTCTGCGGTTCTTCTGCGGCCTGACCCCAACAAGAAGAAGCCTCCAGTGATCATAAGCCTCCCGAAAGACTTCCGCCCTGTGTCGTCCATCATCGACGTGGACATCCTCCCGGAGACGCACAGGCGTGTCCGTCTGTACAAGCATGGTCAGGAAAAGCCCTTGGGTTTCTATATCCGCGACGGCTCAAGCGTGCGAGTGACTCCACAGGGCCTGGAGAAGGTCCCAGGGATCTTCATCTCTCGCCTGGTGCCCGGCGGCCTGGCTGAAAGCACAGGCCTGCTGGCTGTCAACGACGAGGTTCTGGAGGTGAATGGCATCGAGGTGGTGGGCAAGTCTCTGGACCAGGTGACGGACATGATGATTGCCAACAGCCACAACCTCATCATCACCGTGAAGCCTGCCAATCAGCGGAACAATGTCGTTCGCGGCGGTGGAGTAGGTGGAGGCGCTGCCTCTGGTAGTTCGTCGGACAACGGTGCCAGTTACCATGGCTATTTACCCCACGGCGCAGCTGCCATCGCCGGGCCGACACACATCATCCAGAACTTCTCCGTTGGGGAGCTGGAGAGCGACGAAGACGACGAGGACGTGGTGATCGAAATGGGGGGCGAGGCGGAGACCATTCGGCGCACTCCGTCGAACTACAGCATGCCGTCTCTGCCTCGCTATGAACCGCACCTCAACCTTCGCACCGCCACTGCCGCCAATTCCGGCTCTGCCTTCTCCATAAATGCCAACGGGAACCTGCGTGGCAGCGGCGGCAGCAGCGGATCTCTGACCAACACCAATGCCAGTTCCACCACGCCATCCCCCGACAGAGCGAAGGAGAGGCGGAACCTGGAGGAGGAGGGCACAGTCATCACACTGTAGACTGGGTTTCAACACACTGATCACTGGGAGGTGCAGCAGCGTCTCAATCGCATTCAGTGGCCTCATCTGAGGAGCACAGTTATATGGGTATGTGTTGAACGTCAAACACCGCACCATATGCTGCTCCCTACATGCCAATCATCACGCTGGAGTGCCATAGTGGTGATCAGAAGGAACACAGAGCCACTGCTGCTCTCCAGTTCATCTCAGTACCAGTGCAGTTTGTGGGTTTTAGCTTTTTAACTGGTAAACTCAACACCCTCATTTGGTCTTCAAATATTTTCATTGAACAAGTTGGCTCCATTACAAATAATCTTTGCAAAGGATTCAACAATTCCAATTTTGGTTGATACCATTTTTTTTTCTTTTTGGTCTGAGAAGTTGCTAATTAAGACTGGTGATGGATAAGATTGGTGAATAAGATCAGTGTCTTATGCAGATATCTACTGATTGCTGATCTCCCAAAATTAAGGAAATCAGGGCCGATTTATCAGTGCACCCCTACTCTCTAGCTCAGTTATTAGTTGACAATCCCTTCCAATCACCTGCTTTTCTTCTTTTTACATTTACTTCATTCAAATGGTAAACACTACTTTCCAGCAACCTAGCAAGTCTTTGTTTTGATGGTTTTTAACCACTGTTATTACCCTTCTTCCTTTTTGTACCTCATTATAAGGGTGACCGACTGCAAAAAGAAGGTTATCATTATTATTAGATTGCCTCAGTGAAAACATTTTACTCTGAAACCTGCTTTATTTTCATTGCTATTCATGGAGATTATTTTTTTCTTAGAAGACCAATTTTGAGTGGTGATTAACTCCAGAATAAGATATCTGTGAATGAATCATGCTCTCTGTCCTTCATATTGCACTCCTACTTCTCATGATTGTTTCCCCTGCCATTTGGTCGACTTGTGAAATAATGTGAATATGATTTTCATGGTTCTTTCTGGATCAATATATTTAAGATTATTCAGCCATTATCTAAATCATGCCATGACTTCATAAAGATATAGATAGACTTTTTAGCGCCATTGGTGAAGATGTTTGAACAGCCTTGAGTTAAACAGGTCGAACAAACCAAAATTTGAGTCCCCCCCCCCCCCCACAAAAAAATCCCAATAAATAAAATTCTAATCTGGAGTGCATGTTGGCATGAACTCTGCACAAACTCCAGGACTCAAAGTGTAAACCACAAAATGTATATGTGATAAGGATTCAAAACATGCCCAAATGCTTTCAGAAATGGAATTTAGATTAGTGGGGGGGTTTTAAACACAATTTTACAAACGGGATTTTCTCTAACTCGTCTGCCATTTGCCATCATTCCTATCAAATCCCCCATTTTCATTCAGCTGTAATACGTCGACAAGCGTGCTGACGGTCCAAAAATAGCGTTGCTGTAACCATGTTGGTAAACACAACCTCTGAGGTGAGTTAGATGACGTGTCTGTGTCCCTGCTGAGGTTGAGTCACCGCTGAACACACAGCTGCAGGTACAGCTGACACAAACTCTCTCTCTTTGTTAAAGGTGAGGCCGTGCCGTCTTATGAACCACATGATAATAATCTAAGAACCACCAAAGGAGCCATTTTTGCCCTGTCTGCACTTTCTTGAATTCTCTTCAATTTAACCTCCAGTGTCTTATTTTTTTTTTTTAAGTCTATATCATCTCTGAAGTAAATGACTAAAATGAAAGCATTATGGTGATGTAAAAGTAGATCCACAGAGGATCTACTGTGGGTTTATGCCTCACTGAAACGGAAATGATGCATACTCAGCAAAACAAAGTGAAATTTTTGCTCAGATTCTGGAATAATTATGATAAATATATTGATTTTTGAAGGGTGCACACATTGTAATGATGTCGTATAGAACAATCTGATACAGTGCAGTAATATTATTAGCAATACCAGTTCACATACTTCACTCTTCAGTTTGACTCAAACTTCAGTAAAAACACGAGGAAGCACAAAATAATGAACAAACTATCACTAAAGACTTAAATGTCATCTGGGGAAAAAATGACCCCCTCTGGTGGTTCCAGGTGGTACTGAAATGTTGGTGGGTTTTATCCTTTGGTCTAATATTTTAAATGTTTTTAGAATAATATCTTAAAATAATTGAATTGAAACCCTTTCAATTCCAGACATAACCATAAACAGTACGTCCATTTCTGTTGCAAACTCCCTCTGTAAAGTGAGAGCACGTAGACTGGATTTTCAAGTATCTATTCTCCTTATTGAAGTGCTAAGTCTTACTTTAGCATTTATTTTACTGTTGCACATAAAACCAGGGTCCACACCGTCACTTTTAACAAATTATGCAAGTGAAAGTATATTCATTTAAATTGAGGCAATGCTCATGTTCATAATTTGTAGCTGTGTTTACGATCTGAGGCTTTTAGATTGTGAAATTCCATGACTGATTAAAAGATGTTTTTATAACAGCACAGGCTACTTACTACATTTGATGTTTTTGGCCTTGTGTGTGGTCCACAAAATGCAGCATTCCCAGCACTAAGCATAGCAATGAACCATTCTCTAAATGGAAATCTATAATTATTACTTTATTAGCTTTATCTCTGAACTACAGCACAGGACACTGGAATTGTAACTACATCAACATTTTTTTATTTATTCTGTAATCTTCTTCATATTTTCTTTCTTTGTACACATTATGCTATTATATTTTTATAACGGATATGTTTGGTTTTTTTGTTGTTGTGTATTCATGATCATTTGATTTTTTGGTTTTGGTCGTAAATCTCCAGGTACAGTAGAGATTTCTTTAGAAATAATTTCTATAGATTTTACCGCTCTGTTTAAAGCTTCAGGAAAATCTCTGCTAAATAAATTAAACACTATTTCTATTTTCTTTTCTCATACTGTGAATTATTATTTTTGGTGACAGCGAGACAGTTGTATTAACAACCACATAGGCAGATGTTTGGTGTCGACTGTTTTTAAGTGATCAGGTAATATTTTTTTTTTCTAGCCAGATAAATCCTGTGATGTAGATTTGTAATGAAGAATGTCAGTATTTTCATATCAATGCTTATATGTATGGTGGACATTTTTATCATCTGAAGGATATTGTTATAAGGTTGAACTGGAAATATAAGAAAAAGTAGATGCACACCTGTAACTGCTGACTGGCGGAGCTGGATACAATAAACTAATATGTAGCAATACTTGGCGTTTTTGTCTTTAATATGTGGACAAATTACATACAGAGCCTTGCAAAAGTAATGTCCCTTGAAATTAGTCATTATATAATTTCTTTGATTTTTCTTTTAAGCTGTGGGCATGCTGTTCAGGGTGTACCCTGCATCTTGCCTGTTTACCGCTGGAGATGGGCACCAGCTCCCATCGTGACCCCACTAGGGATAAGCGTGTATGATGATGGATGAGTGGATTTTCAGCTGTTTTAGAAATGCTTTATTTCTTTTTTTTTTTCTTTTTGGCCCACAAGTAATTCTGACTGAACAATGTAGATTAATTAAAATATTAGTAGCAATAGTAGTGTTTATTAACAATAAATACTTTTACCATTTTTCTCCTGTAACAAAGCAAAGCACCTTCCAATTTTCCAGGAAATGGTGCAACAAAACGTGGACATTTTTGTGCACGTAATAAAAGCCAAAGAAAACCATTCTCAAATTGTTGATATTGGATACTTTTTCTATTCACCATTAACAACCATTTTATTTGCTTTTATAAATCCACTAATCCAGGATGCTCAGCAAGATTACAACCGCTGAATAAACATCGTTCAGAAACAGGAATTATTAAAACCTTCCCTGTGTTTTATCGCCATCTGGTGGACAGTTTGTAAAACTCTTAACCTGCGAAACTGTTGAGCGGTTCAGCGGTGCGTAAACGATAGTGGAAGTTTAAGTGACGCGTTTAGCCAGTTTTCAAACCCATAACGTAAAGAAAAAAGTTGTTTTTTACAAGCTACGCTGCAAAATATAAATAATTATAGTTAATAGTCCACACAGAATTCTTCACAAAGGTTTGAATGAAAATGTATCGGAGGAGCAGTTATTACTTGAGAAAGCAAGGCCTCCGACACCAGCGTGGAGAAATCTAGTCTTTTACCTTTAATTGAATTGTGAGCAGAATCATAATAATGGAAATTAATATTACCTTTTAAGTGGAACATTTGTTTTTCCTGTAAAGTATTTAAACATGTTTTTTAATGAGTAGAATAAAAACGAAATCATAGACTAAAAATATTGTCAGAATGACAATATTTCTGACAAGAACAATATAATAAAATGACAATATAATACAAGAACCAAGCAAGAGATTATTATTCAGATAAACTATTAGAACCATAGGAAATCGTGTTTAGTTGACACGTGAGCGCCCCTTAGAGGTCTAAAATATTCAACATTTGTCGCTTAATGAATTGAGTATCAACTGACTGACACAATGTTAGTAAATGGGCTTGCAATAGTTTCGCCGTATTTTACCTCGGATTTTACTTCAAAGGACTGATTGAAAAAGTTCTAAAAAGTGGTATTTTAAAAGTTCGATCATGTTAAGTACCCTTTTTGTTTAAACAAACTACTGGACAATAAGACTATTTTTGTCCATCTTGGACTGTTCTGTTGCCAGACCATGACAGCTCAGTGAGCCAGTCATGGAAATTCCGGATGTTTTCCTGGATTCGGATCATGTTCAGCGCAAGCAAGCGAGTCCCAAGTTCCTAAAGTTCATTACTTAGCTCCAGTTCTTTCAATTAATAGCTAAGCCAAGTTCTTGTATTTAATGAGTTTGTTTGTATACAACCATGCAAAGAATAATTATAGTAATGTATAAACTTTTTTATTTTCTAGCCTAATGTTTAAAAGAAAAGTAATAAAATAAACATTTTGCCAGAATGACGTCCGCTGGCACAAACAGGACATAGTTGTTACTGTTTAGGGTAAACTAAAAGAACCCAAGGTACCGGCTCGGTTTCGAGCGACACACACTAGTAGCTGAGCATCACCATCACATGACGTGACGTGTAGCCAGCATGGCGGCGCTGGAGCTGAGATAGAACCCCTACTGGACAGACACCGATAGCCTGGCTTTTGCTAGCTTCCCTCGTTACCTGCTTTCTTCGCGGGGGCCAGGCCGAACATGACGGCCTGAGGAGAGGAACGGTTACTCGACCGAGAGATGCAGGAGCAGCGACAGCGGCCGCCACGGGAGCAGCAACGGCAGCACTCGCAGTCGGAAAACAGTAAAACCAAGAGCATGTTTCTGTCCAGGGCGCTGGAGAAAATCCTGTCGGATAAGGAATTGAAGAGGAACCAACACAGCCAGCTGCGCAAAGCCTGTCAGGTGGCGCTCGGTAGGTGCTTTATGTTAGGTTTCTGGCTCCGACACACCGTTTTATGGGTCACATTTCATGTATTTCTTTGTGTCTAGCTTGTTGTTGGGGGTATATTGAATTAGCCATGTTCTGTTCCCACATCAAACATTGTGATTTCAAACAAATGTATTTAGGCTTAACGAGTATTTAGGCTTTAACGAGTCTGTTAAGATGTGTTTTTCCATCTGGACTTGATCATAGACACCCCCCACACCTCTCCCCCCAAAATAATTGAAAAACTCTTTAAATTTACACAAATGCAATTACGGTGTCACTCAACCAAGCTTTAATTTATTTATTAATATTAAGCACAGTTTGTAATGCATAAAAAAATACAACGCGCATAATTTATTCAGATACCAAAAATTACGAAATAGCCCTTTAATCAACCGTCATATCGGAAGCTAACTTCAGCTTCGTGCACTTTGATGGCCTTTCCTTCACGCTCAGCTGTCAGCTAATGATTAAAGGCAGTGGTGTGTCGCTATGTGTTGCCACCACTCTCACAGTTTGATAATGGCTCTCCTCCGTGTGCTAAACTATGACTATTATCATCGGTTTGAAATGTAGCTGTCGTTAGCTCGCTGTGGCTAGTTTAGCCAAACAGACCAATGGGTGCGTTGTACGTAGCACTGTCACCCAGCCAGACAGTCCAGTCCTGCTGTGTGCACACACACACACACACACACACACACACACACACACAGGAGCTATCCAACTCCCGGATACTCTAC